GAAAATATAAACAGAGTCAGCAGAAATCTCATATCCCAATATTACATCATTGTTATTTCTTTCATAAATCAGTGTTCTATTACTGTGAGTGTCTGTGAGTTTTACAAATATTTTACCTATGAAAAGTATTAAAACCAACAATACCAACTTTGACAATGCAGTTTTGGTCATACAAGGTTTCAGATAATCAGTTATTAGCATAGTTATTACAGTAGCTGTCCACTGGCAGTCCCATGATGCCTTGGGTTGAGTCTGATGACCAGTCAGAGGCTGTGTGGGCACATGTGCGGCAGTCTTATTTTGGCTGTTTGTCTGCAGCATGTGTGATTCTCTACATGACTACATGGCCTGTTGAATTAATGCCATTGTATCTCCACATCTCACCACTGAAGTTGTTAAATAAAAGGCTATTATACCCGATTGAAAAAATTACCTGAACCATTCAAATAAAACCCAGTCTGTAAAATATATTTTTTCTAATGTTGTATAGCATTAGTATCATCATATGTCATGATAATGTGTTTTAAACAAAGATGTGGACCCAAGGCCAGATAAGCTGAAAGCATGTTTTTTTTTTTTTTTCTGGCGCTTGCCCTTATTAGACAGGGCTGCTCAAAATTGACACTAAAGGGGGGAGAAAGGGTGGATGACACCCTGCAAGAGGCCAAAGGCAGGATTTGAACCCATGGCCGCAGCAGCAAGGACTCAGCCTTGGTACATGGGGCTGTTGTAGTTATTTTTAATAAGGTACCTGTTGAAAACACCTTGAAAAACACATGAAGAAAAATTGGTTTATTCTTAATGTTTCAATTTATCCTCCAGTTTATCAGTATTTATATCCTTTCACCTTGATCTGCCTCTCATGCTGTGATTCCACACAGATAAATATACCAGTAGCAACAGTATGTGTGTGTGTGTGTGTGTGTGTATTTGCACAGATGTGTGTTTGGAGCATATAGCCACACAGAAGAGGGGATTGAAGGATGGAGGGAAGGATGAGAGAGAAGGGGTGGGGGGGGCTGTCACAGTGCACAGGGGTTGCCGCTGAGGACGTAATGGAAAAATCACTCAAGATTAACATGAAACACAGGAAATGCTCTCAATTGAGCCTGATTGCCTCATTTGTATGTATGTGTGTGTGTGTGTGTGTGTGTGTGTGTGAACTCCAAACAGAGCTTCTGACAGTACTGACAGTGCAGCTCCTGTTTATTGACAAGATTTCTTAAGCGATATTAAATATTAAAGCTTTCCTCAGAAAAACAAACCATAAAGGTGATTTCCCTGACTGTAGGAACACAGTGTGACACTGATGATAACATCAGCTGCAGCCTGTATTCAACAGTTCCCATAAAATTCCATCCCTGCAGTCTCTGTTAAGTAAAATTAGTCAATTTTCAGCTTTTCTAACATGATGTTTGATCTGTCTAATAGATGATATTGACTATGT